GACGTGAAGAAGGGAGCAAGTTGCACGTGGGAAAAAAACGCGCCTGATTTAAATGTCACACCTTTAAATGCTCACATCCTTTTAATTATGTTTGAAATTATGAACATTGCTCAACATCATGAAAATTAAACCTTATTTTCAATAAGCAATCCTGAAAAATATTTGGGGGTGCTTAACTTTTTTCCAGGTGTATAGTAATACAATAGGTAGTCAAAGATCGCAAAGTTTATTTTGCTCTATCAAATGATGATAAAATTATAGTTACTGCTAGAGCTAGGTAGGCGCTAGGCCTGATGAAGAAAAATGATGATGAAAGAAAATAAAAAATATTGGTTATGGCTTATTGCCGGTTTTTGGCTTTGGAATACTCTGGATAGCTAAAAAGTAGCATATTCACTGGAGATAGAGTGACTATGCCAGGTAGATCTTTATATGTAGCTTCTGATGACCTGGGGATAACTTTTGTACTGCTTTAATACAGGCATTCGTTCCATCCCTACATAGAGTATTAGTATACCCTCTGATAATACACAAGCCAACCATGTACAGAAGCAAGTAACACCTGGATGACCCTTTTAAAATTATCCAAATAACTAGTTGATTGGAGTCCCAATTGGGTGAGAGCCTGGGCATATACAGTCCTTCTCATGACTCTCCAGAAGGTAGCAACAAGTTAGTAGCTGAAATGTGGGATGTAACTAACTTGTAATTATTATCTATTAATGACAGTAATACAAAAAAGTAAATAATTAATAATTAGACTTAGCTGATCGTATAAGCTACTTACCGTGACTTTTGAAGTTTGCATAAAAGGACTTGTTATATAAGCCAATAATTGAAAAACAAATTAAAATGCATAAATAATACTGTCAGTTACATGGTAATGATTACCACAGTGTCTTAACCTTCTTATAATCCCAAAACCTTACAAATGGCCAATTATCAACCAGACACACAAGGTTTTCTGTACTATCTTAGTAAAATAGATAATTATTAAAGCAAAATTTGACTTAGAAAGATTCCAGATGCATCAATTAACAGTAAAGTAAAACTTTTTAAAAACAAGTACAAAATAAAATCAAAATTGTGAAGATTCACAAATTTTGATAAACAGTAAAGCACATTATGAAGATGACAACATCTCACCTAGTGTAATTAGTTCAAAAACAAAAACTGAGTAAATACTTTCATAAATACATAACAAAAACCAGGAAGTAACTGTAATGGGTTAAGATATACATGAAGGAAATCTAAAACCATTGAAATACCCCAGCAGAATGATTTAACTGTAAGAAGTCTGTACATTTGGCTCAACAACAGTGTTAAAACAGGAATATATATATA